ACTGCGCTTTGATCTCTGGCGCTTCTTCGCCAACTTGCACTTTTGGCACAATTCTCAGAAAGTCTTCATACACCTTCTTTGCTGGACACTCTTTCTCACACATGAAATGTTTGTCTTTGCTTTCAGTTGGCTGTTTATAGAGTGGGTGAGGTGTCACTGACACAGAGTACGATGACTCATTCCACTTCACGTGTCCAGAATGTCATCGTATTTTTGAAAAGATGAATTGCATTTTAATTGTAAATAGATAATATAGTATTCATATGGTTATCAATATCATACAACTTCTTTGAGTAGTTTTGTGTAACTTTTGGTTTTAATTGTTACATGTGTGTGATTGGCCATTTGTGTTCCCCACAAAAATTACATTTCAATTACTTTTGACACATCTCACCATTTCACAATTTGTCATAATCAGAAGACCACATTGCGTTGGAAACTTTGACGCATCATCTCAAAATTTTTTGATATTTATAATAATTTATAAATTTTAAATAACAGTTTAATATCTAACCTCAATACAAGTCAATTTCAATATGAGTATCAAGAAAGCACTAATGGTCTAAGGGCAGAATTTCACCCTCCCAAGGTGGAGATCCGGGTTCGAGTCCCGGTTAGTGCACTTTTTATATTTATTATTTATAGTTAAGTTTTTAGAAATTATTATAAAAATACCATGAGATAGAGAAAAATAATTTTAAATAATTATAATTTTTTTTCCTCTGTTTTTTAAATGAATTATTTGAAAAGTTGACAAATCAAGTTTTCAATGAAAAATTTGTCTATTTAAACAATTTATTAATGATAATGAAATGTTTACATGTATCAAATGTAATGATTATTATTATCATTCTTTGTTTTTAAAACATTAACCAAAAAATAATCAAGAAGCAATTAATTATGTCATTTAATGGTTGTTGGCCACTCAAAAAAGTGCTTTAACTATCACGGATAATCAAACATGTTTTTCATCATTGTGGCGATTAGATGACAAATTTTTTGGTTTTTATACCCAACCTTTGTTTTTGACAACAATATTTTTAATTATTCTGATACTATTTAAACTATACACATTATGAAAATACCAACTAAAAACAAACTGATAAAATTTATAAATACTTTTTTTCCTATTTCTATTTTATAAAAAAGACAATTCTAGTTGTTATAATAATTTTATTATAAAATAACTAGAGTCAATAATGTATATTTGTGGTACAACGAATAGATAACTGGTTTGTCCTTCATTTAAAAATATATTCTTGAATTTAAATTGTTTGTGGAATTAAAATATAATTTATTTTAAATAACTTTCGATATTAAAAAAACAATTTCGCATTCTACTTTACGAAAAATAGATGTGTATTTTTTGATTATGGACAAAAAGACACTTTTTGATTGGTATTGTTGATTTACTTCAATATGTTGCAATTTATGATCATTTCATTGTATTATAATTAATTATTATGTTATTATTAAATAGACAATATTTGAGAATTAAAATAGATTTGTTAATTACTTTTCACTAGAATTGTGGTTCGTTTTTGTCGACCGCAAAAAGAGTTATTCTTCCTTTCCCATTTTACCTGCAAAATAATTTGGACTTTCTTGTAAGTATGGACTTGTCCTTTTTTATGTAATACCATAAAGTGAAATAACATTTTTATTAAAAAAACTAGCTTTTTCAAAAATTCTGGCTTAAAAAACTTCAGTTATTTGATATTAAAGCCAGTCTCTTTAAGTTGTCTACCGGACCAAAGATAGCATTTTGTAAATAATGAACCTTGGAAAAAAAAACTTGAAAAACTTAAAACAATAAGATGAATTTTTTAGGATGAGTTCCCTTAATATTCCATATTTTATTGTCTAAAAGAAACCAGATAAAGTTAAAAGTTTTAATTAAACATAGATTTTAGTTTTATCTCCGACTATTTCAATAAATACTGATATAAAATATTTATTATTAATTATTGAATTACATAATTTAATTATTATAAACTATAATTTACTATCATGTTCTTGACGTTCAAACTAAAATAATTCGCCTTTATTATTTTGAGAGATCTTTGTGCCACGACAAATAATAGTTCTTATCCTTTCCATTTTGCCTCTTCTATTTCGAAAAGGCCGAAGTCAAAAATGAAGCACTCCCAACTAATTAAAATATTAATAAAATGATACTATTTCTTTAAGTTAAAAAATGGTGATGGCAAACGATAACTTTTGAATCAAAGTTATGACGAAGAAAACAAAAGAAGGAGTTGTTCATATAAAAAGAACTTTGATGAACACATTCATTATATGGACACATCTGCCATTCGCACCAAAACCTCAGCTATTGTCTCCGATTTGTTGACTCAGTCACCCACTGAAGAAGACAAGAGTAACTTGAAAGCCTTCCAGATACTTCACAATGCATATCTCAGTGGTATTGATTCTCAAAAGAAAGGAATAGAATGGGACAAGGTAGAAGCACTTCCTGCTGAGTGTCAAGTCGACTATTTTGCTCTTGACAAAAACATCCCACGTGAAGAAACTATCAATTTACTTAAGAAACTCTGTTTAGTAAAAATCAATGGAGGACTTGGCACGACAATGGGATGTACTGGTCCTAAAGGTGTTATAGAAGTCCGAAATGGGCAAAACTTCTTAGATATTACAGTGACTCAATTGAAGGCTATAACAAAGGAATACGGAGTTGTTGTACCTTTAGTGTTAATGAACTCATTCTCTACACAAGTTGACACGGAGAACGCACTGAAGAAGTATAGTAATGATAAAGATGTCAAAATCCTTACCTTCCTTCAACATAAGTTCCCACGAATTGATGCAGACACTCTCCTCCCCGTCACTACTCACCTCAATGGAAGAAAAGAAGAATGGTACCCACCAGGACATGGCGACTTTTTGCAGTCCTTTGTCGACTCTGCTGCGTTCAAAGAGCTTGAAAAAGGTGGCATTGAATATGTCTATCTTTCGAATGTCGATAATTTGGGTGCTACACTCGACACGTCGATTCTGAGTTATTTCTATAAGAATGACATGGACTTCTCTGTCGAACTCACACCAAAGACTCTGAATGATGTCAAAGGAGGGACTTTGATTAAATATGAACAGAAATTGAAGTTACTTGAGATCGCACAAGTCCCAAAAGAGAAGATTGAGGAATTCCAGGATATTAAAAAGTTCAAAGTATTTAACACGAACAACATATGGATGAAAATGGCGAGTGTAAAGAGTGTTGTGGAGAAGGAAACGTTGTTAAACAATATGGACATCATCGTTAATAGAAAGATGGATGGAGAAAGAAAGGTAATACAACTTGAAATAGCAGTCGGATGTGCTATTTCGGCATTCGAAAAGACTTCCGCAGTCATCGTCCCACGCCGTAGATTCCTTCCAGTCAAGTCGTGTTCGGACTTATTTGTCGTTCAAAGCACTGTTTTCAATTTGGACAAGATGGGTCATATTGTCGATGGTGCGCGAAAGGTAGATGAGATGCCACCACCTATTAAATTGTCTAAGGAGTATCAACATGTCGGAGATTACGCTGCACGACTCAAACATATTCCAAACATTGAAGAACTGAAGAAACTCGATGTGGAAGGCGATGTCCTGTTTGGCGAAGGAGTCGTTTTGAAAGGAGAGATCACAATCAAAAACGCAACAGGAAAGCAAGTAGTTGTGGAACATAAAACTCTTGAAAACGAAACTATTACTTTCTAATTTTTTTACTTCAAATTATAGTTCGGTTTTTTGTTTATTTAATAATTATTATATAGTTTTAATTTTAGTAATAATAAATTCTGAATTATTGTTGCAATTGTCAATCGAAAAAGTTTTTGGGTGTTTTTACTAACATTTGTTAATTTGGAAATATATAATAGTTTAATTCTATCTTTAAACTATTTAATTAATTCAATACGAGAACTGTAAATTTCAAATAAAAAAAACATTTCCACACAATAAAACCAATTTTTTATAGCGAAAAATACCCGACAAATTACATAACAATCCGGCTCATTTAATTGAACAACACAGTGAGAAAAAATTAAAAAAAACGGACTTTTTTTTTCACCGAGTTTTTTTTTTCCAATATCTTCCCAAAAAAATACGTATGTGATATTGTTTCCAAAATGTTGATTTAAAAATAAAACAACCATACTTACTAATATTAAATATTATATAAAATAATACAATTAATTTTATAGAAGGAACAAACAAACACCAGTAAACAATTAGTGAGAGATTGAGATTGCAATCACAGACGTGTCAAAATGAAAATAAGTTGGCAAAGCCGTCTCATTTTGACATGAAAGGCGATATGACTTATTCTGTCGAATATCTTTCATCGAGTGAAAGAACTTCAAAATTCATTGATGAGTATCGACTTGGACGATCTACTTAACACTGGTATAACCGACGCAACACAAACAGAAATCGAACCGGAACTTTTGGCGATTTCCGCAGACGTCCGACTCACGCCAAAGAAAGTCGATTACACAAAAGTCGATCGAACCACGCGATTCTTAACGTCACCCGCAAGATATAGCGACACCCCAAACAAAAATACGGTCGAACAATTCATCGAGAATGAAACGCTTAAGGATAGTGCGGACAAACGAACCTTTCATCGGACGCGCCCACTCATCGGAAGGAAAGAAACGGTTTCTGTGTCGTCTTCTACAGTCTACGGAAGTGACGAAGATAAAAAGAAAAGATGTCAAACATGTAACACAACGCGCGACGATATTGACATAAGTAACGCTTTGTACTCTGTTGGAACACCAGACATCTCGTTCTTGGATGATGTGTTATATATCGCACAAGATAAAGGAGTCAACGAAAGCCAATTAAGTTCTCTTATTACTGATGACGTTTTTAACACTGCTGTCTTTAGAAGAGACCCTTGGTCTTCCGTGCCATTGCCTTCTGAGATATGGACAAACTGTAAAGTGGATCAAGAAGGGTGTATTGTCAATGTTGAGAGTATGACAAACGGATTTAACATCGAAGCGCATGGGGAGTGTGTGGGGATGACCACCCACTTGTGGAAATACAGCATCGTTGAAACGGAAAAGGAGTACCCCTATTTCAAAAAGCATTTTCATGGGAAGAAAAGTGTGAAATTTTATATAGACACCACTAAACTCATTTTGTTGGCCGTTGATACATCGACTCGATATAGAAGAGGGATAGTGATGACACCGAAAGGCATTGTCCGTGTTGTTTTCCCACCTGGGATAGATTACGAAAAGACTGAGAAAGTGTGGGGGAGTGAGGAGAAAGATAAGCGCGTGAAAAGCATTAAGAAGAATAGTGAGAAGATAGAATCGGAGTTGGAAAAGATCGAAATGATGGAGATCGGCTTGATGATGAAAATGAAGGTTGGTGTCATCTATGTGAAAAAGGATCAAAATGAGGAGAATGCGCTGTTTTCGAACGACGTCTGTGAGTGCAATGAACAATTCTGGGAATTCATGAATGGATTGGGAGAGAGGATCAAATTGGAGCATTGGGAACGGTACAAAGGAGGACTTGACGTGAAGAAGAACTGTACGGGGACGTTCAGTTATTTCCGACAATACAATGAATACCAGATCATGTTCCATGTTGCCCCATTATTACCAAATCAAGAGGATGATCCACAGAAATTGGAACGAAAGAGACATGTTGGGAATGATGTGGTTGTTGTCATCTATCTTGAAAAGGAAAGGACGGAGCCTTTTGATGTACGTATTTTAACATCACACTTCAACAATGTGTTTATTCTAGTGAAGCCGGAAGATAAGACAGTTGACGGGAAAACTGAGGAAGGTTATAGAATATGTGTAGTCACCAAACCAAATAATAAGCCATTTCCTCCATTCATCAAAGATGGGTGGATGAAAAAGAACATTATAGCTTATGACTTCTTGCTCAAGAAAAGTTTGTCGGTTGTATCTTATTTATATAGTTATTATATTGTTATTAATTCCATATTTTAGAGTTGTGTAGTGGAGAAGAGAATGTGGTATTGACGCGAAGTGATTAATGGAGAGAGAGTGACGATGCACAACACGACATTTGCGTCGAATGCGAAAAATACACGAAGAGAACAACTGAAGGCGATAACCGCCATGGTGTAATTTTAATCTGTTTTCTTTGTGTTTGATTTGAAAAGAATATAAGGAAAGAATTAGTTATAAATTTCAGACGAAAAAAGAGGAGAAGACTCCAGCGGAATGTTGCTTCTTGACTGAAGGCGGGAGGAAGTAATCGAAGAGAGAGAATATCGAGAGGTAGTCGATCACTTTTGGAAGAGCGAAGACGGAAGCTCTGAGACAAGGGGGATGACAAGCCCAATTGAGTAACACGGAGAGGGAAAGAATCGAAGTCAGTGATGTATTAACTCTTGCGAACGGAGAGGGTTCGATGGAAAAAGTTTCGTAAGTAGCCGTGTTGAAGAAGTTGTCCCAATGAATAGGTTTTGGGAAAGCAAAGTATCGATGAGCTAAAGAACCGACTGAAAGAAGGGTATCGCGTGTGATTAAGTTGGTGACTAGACGTGGTGGCAACCTCTTCATGTAAGATAAAGATACGACTGTAGTAGTCAGAAGCATTTTGTCAAGAAATGGAGAAAGAAGTGGAAGGAGTGACGGTTCTTTGGGAAGTGGGAAAGCGACGTCTATAAGCCCTGATAAGAATAACACTCCGACGCAATGTGAAGGATGACTTGTTAATATTGAATAAGAAGAAGCGGGAATAAGAAGTGTTTTGAGGACGACGGGAAGGTTGGAGGACGACGTTTGACGAAGGAAGTCATACAACCTAATTCGAGTAGGTGCGAGTGCCATTGAAACTTCTCTTCTTTGAAATTTTGAGTTGCTCTATGAATGAAATTTTTAGTAAAAAAACTGAACCAAAAATTCAAACTCATAATAAGTAATGAACGCTACCAGTATCCAAACACATCAAAGCAACATTTTGGAGTACTTGAAAAAGAACAGAAATGAATTCACATCACGACAAATACTCGAGATTTTATCAATCGACTTGCAGAAGGGAGGTGAGCTCTTCAATAGATTAATTAAGATGGAGCAGATCGAGTATAATGAAACAAAAGAGACCTTCAAATACAAGCCAAAGTGTAATGCACGCAATTTTAAGGAACTCCAAGAGCGAATCCACACAAATGGGTTAAAAGGCGTTTCGTCAAAGTTTCTGAATGACGCATACCCCGGTGTCGAAGAGGATTTAAAACAACTCCAAACACACCCAAGTGACTTCGACATGATTTGTTTGAAAGAAGACAAAGGAAAAGACGTATTCTTCTTCTCCGACCCAACTAAAAAAGTCTTAGGTGGTGGTGCGGAGCTTGACGGCGATATCGTCTCCAAGTGGAAACAACTGACCGGTTCTAAAGATGATGACTTCGACAAGACCATTCGCAACTCCAATTTAATCCGATATCATTTCTCTGCTCAAAACACATCAAAGAGATCAAAGAAAGACTTGTGAAGTGATTGAAATGTTTGAAGTTTGTTATGGTAATTAAATAACTATACTAATAATAATATATTATTATTATATTAATATTAATATTAATATTAATATTAATATTAATATTAATATTAATATTAATATTAATATTAATATTAATATTAATATTATTATTATTATTATGGTTTTAAAAACTCTAATAAAAAACAACAAGAAGAATATCTTACTCAACCCAATATTTTTGCTTGTTAATTTCGGTCACAATCTCATCGGCTTCTTTCTTAAGATTGGGCGAAAACATATTAAAATAAAGTTGATTGTAGTTGCTGTTAACTAACTCGACTCTTATAATACGAAGAGCTGTTTTGCTGTCGTACCCCAATGAAAGAAGTTTCTCATAGAAATCTGTCATTATGAAGTCAGCAGTTTCTTGTGTGATATCTGGAGAGTTTCGTTGGTTATTATGGTAAATGGTGGAATAGTTTTGTTTGTAGTAGTTATTTTGATATGTGTCGTACCTTGAAACGACCCAACACATCTTGATGCAGTAGGAACGAAGCGCTAACTTGGCTGCATCAGTCTTGAGATAGAAGGTCAAAAGAGTTGTCTTGTGTAATTTGTCTTTTGATAGAGTGACGGATTTGGTGTGGGAGTACACGGCATCAGCTCCAAGCTCTTTAATGATATCTGCAATTTGTGATTCTTCAACATTTTCGTCTGTAATAGTCACCACATATCGACGAGAGAAGTAAGCGTATCTTAATAATAGAGATTCGTTAGTACCACATAATGTGGTAATCAACTCGTCGAGGTTCTCTTGGACAACACGAAGTGCTTTTTTGTCATTCAAAATCTTTTGGTAAAGCTCTGGTTCTTTTTCAGATGACGTGGATTCAAGGCGTGTATTCACTTCTTCAAGCAAAAAGCGAAGGTGCATTCGCTGATCTAAAACTGCTCGTATTTTGTTCTCTGCCTCTTTGTAAGCGTCGTCCTTTTGGATTAGTTTTCCAGTGATTGATGTTTGCGACATGAAGGAGATTAAAGAGATTATAAAGATTCATTCCTTATATGAGAAATTCTAAACCTCAAAATTATTAAACAGTTTTGAGAAATATGTGGTTTAAAGGTTTATTTGTATTGAATTTTGTTTGGTTTGTATTTAAATTTGTTAACAAAACAATAGTCGTAACTAAAAGTGCGTTTTTTTGAGTGTTTTTATATTTGTTTGTTATGAGGACATATTAATTAAATTTTTATAGTTCGTTTATAGATTTTCTTTTTAAAACTATTATAATAATATATTATATTATATTTAATATTTTAACATAATTTGAATTTGAGTTTTTCTATTAGTAATTTAATAATTTTATTATAAGTTTTTTTTATTAGTTTGAAAACAAATTAAACAAGCATTTAAAACCCGATAATAATTATCGGGTCAACAACATCATTTTAGTCCAAATATTAATTCATAACTTTGTTATTTGTATCAATAAAAATGCTTTTTCGTTGCATTCCTCTTTTTAATTTTTTTCATTTTATTAAAAAAAGAATCAACTTTTATTATTTTTAAATTATAATTATAATAACAGTTTTCACTTTAAATACCAGGTGATAAAATATGTTTTCAATAGTACATAATAAGATAAAGACACTCATCATAATGAATAAAAATTATATGTATTTAAAAAGTTGTTTACATGACACATGAATTAAATATTTAACACTTTTTTGTTGTTCTGGTGTTTATTTACACAACTTTATTACTGGTCAATATTAAAAATTGACTATTATTTGATATAAAGTTGTTATTATCTTGATGTACATGTTACAATCTATCGCCGATACGTGTTGTTAATCCATTTTTAAATATCTTTTTTTTATAAAATGCTTGTCACTTACATTACATATACACATCAACTTATTTTAAACATTCATTCTAATTTACATAATGTGTGTTTTTTGTACAAAATCATTTATCATATATTGTTTGGCTTGTTAAACCAAACACAATCCGTTTGTATTATAGACTCGGTATCTTAGTCTGCACGCAAAAATAACATTCAACAACTTCTTTATATCTTTGGTGTTGTCTTTCTAAAATTTTTGTGTTTGTTCTACAATTGTTGTTTATTATCGATTTGATATACTGTCTAACATATTTTATTAATTATTTATCAAGACCTCTATTATTTTCAACTGTTAATGTTTTTATGTTTTTATCACACCTTATCGAAATATGATATATATGTTAAACGTATAACACATTAACTCTCCGACAACCCAATAGTTCTCTATTTAACACTTTTTGAAATTGTTGTCCCAAAATTTTTTAATAATTTTGAATATATATTGGGTAAGTTTTCCTGAATATACAGATAAAAAAACAATAACAATAAGATTAATTATATTTTCATTTTGAATAAAAATTGTCTTAAAATAAATCCCCAAAAATAATAAGTTGTCATAATTTGTTTTTTAAAAAAAATTCAGACAAAAAAATAATTTCTGAACCAAAACATAAATCTATTATAAATTAAAATAAACTTTATCTAAAATAATAAATTTATAAATAATTGACTTTGAAACTAAATTTTTATCAAGAAACATTAGAATAAAAACCAGCTAAAAACAGGTAAAAAATTATTTATAATTTTATGATAAAATATAAAAACAAAATTAGAATATATACCATAAAATATATAAAAGCAACTTAATAATTATAATTTCTTTTGTTCTCTTCTCCAGTTTCTGATTTTTTCTAATTGTTCAACACCTTTGATACCCATACATTTATCACAAACACATTGGAAGTGGAATGAACATACATGATTATAACATAATGCACATCTTCTTGTAAACGATGAATTGCTGATTTTTTATCTTTGAGTTCCAAACATATTTTGCATTTCGATTTACCTTGGTCTGTTTCTCTTCTTATAGTTTGTTCTACATTTTTTTCTTCAACTGTAGACGTTTTTTCTTTTGTTTCATTGATATATTCAAGTATAGAAATTTTTGTTAATTCATTTCTAGTCTTTCTCAGTCTTGAATGTGCATTGTTAATACCCAGTTTTTTAGAAAGGTTAATACAATATTTCCATTTTGGATATTGTCTTTTTGTCATTTTGAATTGTTCATTATTTCCATTTTCACATTTGTTTAACACGTAAAGAATATAACTGTTGTGATATGCCATGTCTATAATATGGTAAAAAACGCAAGTGGCCACCTTCTTGATGGTCTCTTACACGTGTGTTCTCGCATACTTTGGTCCGCTTGATCTACACCACACATAAATTTATTGTATCGATTCACTGTTGAAAATTTACCTTCTGATAATTCTCCCACCTCGTTTTTAACAATGAATGATTCTTGTTGTTGTGTTCGTGAAGTCAAAATCATAATATTTTTGTCTCGTTCGATAAATGATACAATTCGTATTTGTTTTGTTTCTAATAATGGAGTATTGTTGGTTTTCTCTAAAACAATTTTCTTTAATAACATTTTCTCGGTCTTTTTCTTTTTGGCAGAAAAACAAATTAATTTGGCTTTTTGTGGAACGAACAGTCTTTTTGTGTTAATTGTGCCAACTAAATAAATTTCATTTTCTAACAATTTGACACACAATTTTTCACTTGTAAAAAAACGATCTACTGTTATTGTTGATTCGAGTGGATATTTCATTTGTAAGTGTTTAACCAATTCGATAACTACAAGACCACCAACATCTTGAATGGGTTTTCCATTGTCAGAACCACGATAGAAAAACGTATTTAGTATAACATTAGTTGTTGAATCCGCGAGTATGAAAAACTTCATTCCATATTTACCTGGTTTTGTTGGAATGAACGTTTTGTTGCACCACTTCCCATAATAATTAAACAAATTCTCATATATAGATAATTCCGAACTACACCTATAAATATTTGGGTACAAATTTAATAAATTACTATTGAATAAATTGTATATTTTCTCTATAAAAGAAAAATTATCTAAATCGTTTTTGTTTGTAGGATAAATCACATTTGACGTATTTGCAATGTCATATTTGTCTGGTTCACTTCGAATAGGTGTAACATTTTTGAAAACGTTGGGTCGAAGTTGAATTTGTTCTGGACGTTTTGGTGACAATCCCGGTAATCTCAAACGAAGCAAACTTGTTTTACTAACTGGTATTTGTTGTGTTGATTTTTGTGTTATAAAATTTGGTTGTAATGACTGATTAACAAATTGTTGTGTTTGTATGATAGAACTGCTCAATTCAAGTTCATGTACGGTGTCAATGTGGTCTTGTAAAACTTCGATACTATCTTTATTCAATATATCATCTGTGGAATCGTATTCATCGTTACAATCTTCTTCATTAGAAAAACTTTCAAAGAAATCTTTTGCAATTTCTCTATAAGCAGCGGTATCATCAAAACGAAGATATTTTTTTATTGTTTTGTATCTTTTTAACGATATTGGTGCTTTGTACAAATAGTTGGATTTTTCACTTGACCACAATGCTTCAAGTGATATTTTGTTTTCTTTGAATTGGCCTTGTAGAATAGTAACTGCTAAAAATGCATCCAATTCATCTATTGTTATATTTTTCCAGTTGTTTGGTGATTCATTAAATTCATCTGTTGATAGTTTATATTCACTCATCAATGAACCAAACAAATTAGTGTTATCAATAATTACTGTTTTCATGTTGTTGTCGATTAATGAATTAAAATAAAAGAGCTCGTCACTTTCTTCGTTAATATGTAAAAGGGCTTTTCTTTTTATCAAAATTGGTTCATTGATTGTTGTGTCAAATTCAGCTTCTTTCCACTCTGAATCTTCATATGCATTTGTGTTGAAACTTTCAGTTGGCAACATACGCCGTGGTTTGTTTTTTTCAGTTTTGAATAACAAAAATATAAAGAATTGTTTTTTTTGAACAAAACAATATTATTAATTTGTTATAATAAAGGTGGTGGATAAAAATTGTTTTAAAAAAAAACAAAAAAAAACTAAAATTAATATAAAAACAAAAATAATAACACTTTTTATTAAAAAAGTTTGTACAATTAGACAATTTTGCCGATTCTAAAAAAGTTTAATTGTTTTTTTTTATTTTTTTTGATTTTTTTGTTAGTTAGTTCAGATTATGAATTTAATTTTTCATTTTCAAATTTTAATAAAATTATAGTACATATATAACATATTTTTTTCAACAGTGCATTTTTATGCACTATTGGTCTTTCCGGCCATTGGTATGTATGAGAGTTAAAGTATATAAAAGTTTTCATTATAATACCATTACTTTTAATACCTTTTTATTTCTTATTAGTATTTTAAATCTCATTTAAATAACAAATACTTTTTTCTAATTTTTAACTATTTTATTATTTAACCTCTTTTTTTAATATCAAAAACTTGTTTGTCTGTCTGTTTATACAATTACTATTTAAAACAATAATTAATTCATCAAAAAAGAGATAATTTATTTAAAATTTTATCTTTTCTTAAGGAACTAAACTTGAATAAAACGATAGTTAGTAAAAATTAACTGTCGTTCGTATTGAAAAATCATCACAATTTATTATTAAGATTAGTAAAAACAATTATATTTATAGTATATTGCTTATTAATAAAATACTATTAAGAAGCGCAAGAATAACGTACAACCGAAATAAATAAATAAATAAATATATGCGTTAGACAAACATATATATGTAGATAAGGAAATAATTAATTTTTGGAGTTATATTTTTACTAAAAAGCTATTTTATTTTTGTCCATAAATAGAATCTGGTTTTATTTTTTTATTAAAGGGTTTCTTGAGGATAAGGTGTATCCTCGGGATCAAAGCTATCGTTATTAAAAATATTTTTCTGAGGATACAAAAAACAAATCCATAAGGTTCAGTTCCCCATAAGGCCCACTTTCATAACTCAAGTTATAATTTACACTTAATATTTCGAGTCAAAGTTAAATTTTTAAATGATGGTAATAATTTGTCATAAATGCCAAAAGATTAAAAACAATCAAAAAATCGTTACGATAATTTATAAACATAAACAATAATTATAACTCGCGAACTTGAGACGGGAAATAACAAAGTATGAATTGTACTTGTTCACATTATAATTATAAACTTATTGATATTATTTACGAATCCTTTTTAATAACAAAACGATTGAAATTTACGTTTAAATTGATAATTGTTTTTTTAATCAAAATGAAAATTGAAAAAGTCGAAAACAATGATTTAATAAAAATGTGATTTTAAAATAACAAATTTATAATTATTTTTGTAATTTATGCAATTATTCAAATTTATAGTAATAACAAAGTTAATCATATTGTGTATATTTTAATATGAA